AGCCTCCACTGGAAATGTCCGAGCGGGCAAATGAATGCCGAGATCAGCTGGGCTCGGGCCGTCATCGGAACCGCCCAGAACCCACTCGCCATGTTCAAGGTCATGAACCACATGGTGGCGGCGAAGTTGCTCATGAGTTCGTCAATTAGGGATAGGGGTAGTTCATCAGCTTGATTAGCTGGTTCACCAACCGGTAGTCGATGCACAAGCGGACATCGGTACCGTTCTTGTTCATCACGAGGACGATGGCCGATGCCCATTCCGAGTCCGAATACTCTATCAAAGCCGTTTCCAGGAGACGCTTGAGCAACTCGTACATCTTGGACAATAAGTCGGCAGGGATCCTCCGGGACAGCATAGAAATGGGTTTTTCATCCCCGACGTCCAAGTCGCACACGACTCCCCGGGCAGCAGGAGTAGGTGCATTCCCTTCTCCTAAGAAAAACATACGATGCTTCCGGAGGACGGCCCAGAGCCGCTCCTCCTCTTCGGGGTCCGACTCCCCGGGCTTGCCGACGATCGCATCTTCGACGTTAGCCTCGGGCCGGAGATTACTGAGGTCGGGGAGATACGCCAGTTGGTTCTTGAGCATGTCTAAGAGCACGAAGTCGGAACCTTGATGATATAGACTGCGGGTTCCGCGTCGAGAGTTTCCCCAGCCATCGCGACGATAACGAACGACCGGGCCAATGCAACTTGGACGTCCATGGGCGTGGACTTGGGGGGCTCCGGGACGAGTTCCCGAGAAAGCCGTGATCGCTGGAGCGGGCTCACCCCTTGAGGAAGCCTGGGCGTCGTGGTCCGAGGGTTCGCTCCTCGAGGCCTGGGGCCCGGGGTCACTAGTCCTGGGAGTGTACCCGAGACGATCATGACGTGGTCGGCACCGGGCGCAGGAGCGAGAGCCGGCGGGGGGGGGGGCGCCGTTTCCACACATGAAGTCCGGAACCGACTTCCTTGACTGCTCGTCCCCCGATGGCTCCGGAGACCGCGGGACTGGGTGGGCCTCGGGGACTCCGGGCACAACGGTCCGGATCTCCAGGGTCCGCCTGAGGACGCGAGTTGGGGTTGGGTACATCGGGCGGTCCACCATGGGCGTTGCATTCCGTTCGAGCTCCCGGATTTCTGCATCCAAGCGACGCTCCGCCGCAGGAGACCAGGTATTCTCGTAGACTAAGAACTCCCGTTCGTCGTACTGGTAGGGCCCCGGGCGCACAAAGTTGGTCCCCAGAGGCAACCGATCCCGATCTGTCAGAGTAGCGACCTTGGTATGTGGGAGCACCTGGACTGGTTTTCGGGAGATATTCACCACCCGGACGGCGACTGGAATTCGCTTGGCACTAAACACCACTAAAGTCACCCAGCGGTCCCCTCGACTCACCCACACGTCCATAGACTCGAGGTCCGGTTCCGAGGTCCGGATGGGGATGTACTTGCTGTCGCCGGGGGCTAACCAGAGACTCTCATGGATGGAGAAGTCGATCGTCCGCCCCAGGTGTGAGTTCTTGGGCCCCCAAGGAGTATCCGCTCCTCGTCTGGGAGCACCACTTACCCTTCGTGGGCGCACAGCCGTACTCCGGCGGCCACCATGAAGTTCATTCCTAGCAGGACGTGGATACCTTGGCCAATGTTCCCTACCCAGACATCTAGGGTGTACATCACTCGGTGTCCAAGGGTTATTTTGACCCGGCACTTGTTCGTGACTTTGGTTTTGACTCCATCGATCCCGTTGAGCAATAGCTCGCCCCTGGGTTCCACTCTCAGCTTTAACCTACGCGCTAGGTCTAGGCTGATAATGCTGGTAGAAGCTCCGGAGTCGAGCATGAGCAGAGTGCGATGGTGGAAGACAGAACCGTGGACGAAAGCTACAGAGCAGGCACTATCGTCCCAGAAGTTCGCTTCCCACCAGCCTCGGCGCTCCCCGGGCTGGAGGTCGAACGAGAGTTCGTCTTCGTCCGAGGAAACATGCCTGGTGTAGACCGAACTGGGCTCGGAGGCAGGGGTTGATGCAATTGACATACATTGAGGTTCATTATGGCCTACATACGCGTAAGCGCAGCAGATCCGACGGGGCTTAGGCTCGTCGCGTACTGGGTCCCTACCCAGTGAGCCTAATTGTTTAACGCCGGAGTTGCCTCCGGGCGCAACCTCTGCAACACCTCCTCCGGAAGCCCCTGGAGCTGTCCTCGCTGGGCTGCCTCTTTGAAGACCTTGATGACTGCACATTCTGCTGCGGGATGGAGCTGGCAGCAGGCTTCGCACTCCCGACGTCTACACCGGTTGTTGGGGTGTTTCCCCCCGCACCGGTCGCACTTCATCAGTTGCCAACAGCGCTCCCGAGTATGTCCCAGCTTATCACACACTGGGCACGGAGCAGAGGGTCTGGGAGCTCCGGGAGTACCTCCCCCCTCTGGGGTCGGAGCGGCTTTGGGAACGCCCGTTGCGCTCATT